TTCGTCAAAGCCTAGAAGAGATAACTTCGATAACAAACCAGATCATCACCATCCCTGCCTGCGGGCGGCAAAACTTCATGCGTTATGACAATAGGAATACATAGGCCTCAGCACCCTGCGCTTCTCTCGACCCATTCCACGGTGGCAGTTCCGAGTACTATCGATCAAAGGTTGCTAAGAATACCAGGTGTAAGACCGCCTCTGGTAAACGGATCCAGTCTTTCCTCGCCTTTCTTGCACCTACAACTGTAAAATACTGGCTAGGGAAAAATTATTAAACCAATTAATGGAGGAAAAGTCAAGGATGTCTTGCGACATCCTTAACCTCTGCGCGATACCACGGTTTAAGGAGACGAATGGCATCTGTAAAGACGGTAGTTCGATTTGGTTATGAAAAGGAAAGGACTCGAAGAACAGAGGAGGAACCAGATTTGCCTTCAGCAAAAGCTACTTCTCCATTGTTTCTTGTCATGTGAAGTCACCTAGACTGGGCGTACTGTGTCTCAAACTGAACAAGAAATGGACTTCAAAATAATCGTCCAAATTTGTGCTCCCGCGAGTACAGTTGACGAGGAGGAAGTGCAAGAATTCTTATCGAAAACTGGAACATGCATTGGTCCCAAAGTCCATGTATGCCGTCGTCACGGGAGACTTTAATGCTAATGTGGGACGAGGAACTGCCGGCGAAACATCTGTCAGTAGGTAAATCACCAGAGAGTGAAATGAACGAGAAGATTGGTTGGTGGCAATGCCAGAGACGGGACACCGGTGCACTGATAGCACCTGGTTTGAGAAGAAGGCCAAAGGGAGGTGGGCATGGATCGCTCAATACGCGAAGACCAATAATGAAATCGAGTTTGTTTCGTTCGATAAACGCCGCATGATGCGCAATATAGCAGTAGGGTCGTCATTTAGCGCTGACAGGGTCCACAGACTGGTAGGGGCCAGACTAGCATTCGAGGGGAAGATCGAGAAGAAGGCACTGCAGATAGCAAATCACAGACAACGATCGAATGTATTCGAGGAGGCGATGCACCAAGCACGGATTTTTAGCGAATACTGGAGCTTGCAATGGAGCTGCGAGGACGACGACGAGAAGTTCACCGCGAAACTGTGACGCGCGTATAGTCAGCCAAGGTGGTAAAATCAGAAGGAGCGAAAAGATAGATCTCTGATTAGACGAAAAGCTTAACAGAGAAGCGAAGAAGGATGAAGACGGATGTGACCGACTCTTTGGAATGGCATATCTCTGCGAGCTCATTACCCGGAAGCAGAAGAAAACTTCGAGACCTTTCGATGACGAGAGTTAAACAGCAGCCCGAAGAACGCAGACGCCACTGGCAATGAATGAGAAAATATGACGATATTTTTCATTCTGGACCCGTAGATATACAGATATGAATATATTGAACGATTCATGGGTCAGGGCACCAAGTGCATCAGATCGTGAAATTTTTATTGCCACCGCCTTTCACTGCAGACACCAGAGCATCATCAGGACTGGGCATAGATGACTGCTTGAAGGCAGTTATATCCAGAGCGAACATTGCCATTTTTTTCCGATTGGCACATGCTTCATAGGCAGGGTGTCCTTAAATAGCTTGACCAAAATATTAACCAACAAACAGTGTAATGTTTACATTAAAATGCAACAGGACTTCTTTTATGTTGACCGGATTTTGCGAATCAGATTCGTGATTCCGCCCCAGCGGATCAGATTCACAAATAACCACGGAAGATATATATTCGTTGCACATGCGATATTTCATAGAAAGTATATGAAGGAACTCCTTTATGATCAGTCCTACGTTACAATGTATGTGTTTCTGACAGACACAATGGCCTGACTGAAAATATGTTCGACTTAGACGACACGCTTCGCAGTAGCGGAACTGTCACCTTGTCCAAGTCTGACCGCACATAGTTGCTCTTTGATCCGGATGTTCAACTATCAAGCATTTACGAGCCCAAGAAGTCTGTACCATCACTTCGAGAATAAAAGCGAAGATTCATCATCTATAACTATCGTTTCTCAAGAATGGTTAAGAAAGAAGGATAATTGACGAAGAACCTTTGCACCTTAGTTCGAACTTAACGGTGCCCGTCCATGTAGACCAATGGTAGTTTAACCGCTAATATCCCGAGTATCGCAGCCTGTCACGAGGTACCTTAATGACAAGGGTTTTAGAGTCTACCACAAGGCTGGCAGAACAGTGGGCAATATTTTATTCAAGAAGTACATAC